CAAAGTCTGGCATGCTAAGTTGAGGCAGAATCAAGCCCCTCTGCACCCCTCCGGATATTTATATGAAGTTTTGCCACTACCAAATCTGTGTACTGTTGAAACTGATGTTTTCCTCTCCCTCCTTTCAGATTCCTAACTGCCCACTTTGTGGTTGGACCTTGAATGGTAAATACATTGTAATTTGAAGGGTAGGGGCATAAGCTCCAACTTTGATATTTAAATTTATTTGGATTTTTCTCAGTGGTCCCCAAAGGTCAACATTTTGGCCTCATAATTGTATGTTTTGTTACAGCCAATTCAACCACACGTGAACCAAACAGGTCTAACATGATTTTGCTGGCCAAAGGCCAGCTAGACTCAGCTACACTGTCTTTCACCTCACAGGATTCGAATAATGCTGGCTTTGAACTCACAAAGATCTACCTGCCTCTGCCTCCCAAGTGCTAGGATTAAAGGAGTCTGTCGCCATGTCCTTCTTGCTGCTTTAACTTAGCTTTTCTATACTGAAGTCAAAAGAGTTTTGTTGTAGGGCTTGACTGACCTGGTTCTTACCAAGGACTCTGTAATTTTTATTGGACTAGAGTCACTTAGCTTCTCTAAGAATCGGTTACACCATCAACAAAACGGTGTATTGAGAATTCCACCTAACAGCCTTGGGGAGATTAAATGGAGTTATGCATGTGAATTGGGAAGCACTACTCCTTAGTATTTGTTACCACTCAAGGAAACTCACTTAATTTACCAAACCTAGTGCACAGAACTTAAGCCATTACCCTTTTCATAATTTTTGGCAGTCTGTCTTTCATGCTGGGATCACAGTAGCCATTTGTAAAGATTTTCACAGAAAATTTGGGCTGTAGTTGTTATTATATTTTTGGAAAATTTAGGGTGTGTGTGTAGTTGTCCACTATTGTAACTAAGAGACATTAGACACAAAAATACTAATTAGAGTTAATGGTCACAGCCAAAGCTTATTTTCCATAAATATAGAGAGAGATGTAGAGAATCTTATGGTCCTGAGTAGTAAACTGCATTAAGTATGGGATGCCTATCAATTGATATAATACTTATAAATTTGAGATATGGTCAAGATTTCTCCAAACTGTACTGAAAATATTGCCCCATAGTTTTCATATGTGATGAATAGTCAATGTACTTTGATAGGCATTTTTGGTAGTGGGAATTTTCCACAACTTGGGATGGTAATTGACATTTATGTTTGAAACCTTAAAATAATCACATATTTTTATAATTAATTAAATTTCTCAGAATGAATCTTGAGGAAATAATCAATAGAAATTTATAAAAAAGATAATGATCTGAATATTATATCAATTGAGCAAATGAAAGATTTCTAGATTAGTAAAAATAATTCAAGTGAATTATGTTATACACATCTGATTGAATTCTTTAAATCCACTTTAAAATAAATAAACACATCAAAAGCTTCAAACTAGGACTCTCAGTCAGTCTAAATCTCTAAGCTAAGCTACTTAAAGGCTGAAGCAGGAGAATCACAAGTTCACAGCCAGCCTGGGCAACTTAGAGAGCCCTTTTCCAAAAGAAAAGGTAAAAAGAAATTCTTGGGGATATAGCACAGTGGTAGGGTTCTTGTCTAGCATATAGAAGGGCATAAATTCAATTCCCACAACTACAAAAAGGCTCAAAGACCAATATTAAGTAAAAAATGATTCCTAAGACATTTTTGCAATTTCAATTTTGTATAAGTATATGTATATATACTAAATACTAGTGGGGATATTTGGGTGAAGAGGTTACAGGGTGTTTTGTTTTACTCTGAATTTTTGCTTCATTAAAATATAAACAAAAAGATAACTTTAATAGTATGTAATGCACATACTATACACTATGAAGCACTGCCCGGCTGTTTTTAAACTTCACTACACAAGTATTTTTCAAGACTAATACCCATGTTTCCCTGTTGCCAATAATTAAAAGTTTTCCTGTATGCTTGGTGTTAAAATAGTTTAGTCAAGCATTTTGAATGTAGAAGTTTGACAAGACACTTAAAATGGGAACTGAGAGGTACATACTTTGAAAACCCAGTTGATTGTTAGATTATTTGAATATGAAATGTTTTTCCTCCACTAAGTACTCAGGTATAAGCTTTATATTGGATCTCAGTCTTTAGCCTAGGTTGGCCAACAATGGCTTCAGACTCACAGCAAACCCTCTGCCTTATGTAGGATTCCAGGCATGAGCTATCATGTCTGCCTTGGTACATTTAATAAAAACTGAGTTTTCCCTTAGTACTGAGGGGTAAGCCTGTTGCTCATTAGGAAGGAAGAGGGCAAATGTGTGAACTATCTAGCCTTGGAGAAAAATCTAAAGCAACAACTTTTTGAAAAGACAAATTAACAACAAGCCGTGTTTCGCTAATTTAAATAATAAGTCTGTGCCCTATCAATTTATCTAATCGGCATATAGTTTATAACCTGAAATGGCCACACTGTAGTAGTTTCATGCTCCAACTAGCTTAGACTATTTGTGAGCAATTGGCAGTACAGGAGATGGAAGCGAGAGTGAAAGAAAGGGCATGGGCCGTAGGGCACAGAGTTCACAAAAGAAGGAAGGACCTATATGACAAGATCTTTAAGTCCCTGAAAAAAGAAATTGAAGAAGATCTCAGAGGATCTCAGAAAATGGAAAAATCTGCCATGCTCATGGATAGGCAGGACTAACATAGTAAAAATGGCAATCTTACCAAAAGCAATCTACAGATTCAATGCAATCCCCATCAAAATACCAACACAATTCTTCACAGACCTAGAAAGAATAATACTCAACTTTGTATGGAAAAACAAAAAACCCAGGATAGCCAAAAGAATCCTGTACAATAACACAACCTCTGGAGGCATCTCGATCCCTGACTTCAAGCTCTACTATAGAGCTACAGTAATAAAAACAGCTTGGTACTGGCATAAAAACCGACATGTGGACCAATGGAATCGAATTTAAGACCCTGATATTAATCCGCACACCTATGAACATATAATTTTTGACAAAGAAATCAAAAGTGCACAATGGAAAAAAGAAAGCATCTTCAACAAATGGTGCTGGCATAACTGGATATCAACATGTAGAAGGCTGCAAATAGATCCATATCTATCACCGTGCACAAAACTTAAGTCCAAGTGGATCAAAGACCTCAACATAAATCCAGATACTCTGAACCTGCTAGAAGAGAAAGTAGGAAGTAGTCTTGAACGCATTGGCATAGGAGACTACTTCCTAAATAGAACACCAGTAGCTCAGACACTGAGAGAAACAGTCAATCAATGGGACCTCTTGAAACTGAGAAGCTTTTGTAGAGCAAAGGATACGGTCAACAAGGCAAAGCGACAGCCTACTGAATGGGAAAAGATCTTCACCAACCCCACATCCGACAGAGGACTGATATCCAAAATATATAAGGAACTCAAGAATTTAGACATCAAAATGCCCAACAGTCCAATTAAGAAATGGGCTATAGAACTAAACAGAGAATTCTCAACAGAGGAAACTCAAATGGCAGAAAGACATTTAAGGAATTGCTCAACATCCTTAATCATCAGAGAAATGCAAATCAAAACAACTCTGAGATACCACCTTACGCCTATCAGAATGTCTAATATCAAAAACACTGAAGACACCTTATGCTGGAGAGGATGTGGAGCTAGGGGAACTCTCCTCCACTGCTGGTGGGAATGCAAGCTTGTACAACCACTTTGGAAATCAATATGGCGCTTTCTTAGAAAATTGGGAATCCATCTCCCCCAAGATCCAGCTATACCACTCTTGGGCATATACCCAAGGAATGCTCAACCACACCACAAGAGCACTTGTTCAGCTATGGTCATATCAGCATTGTTTGTAATAGCCAGAACATGGAAACAACCTAGATGCCCTTCAACTGAAGAATGGATAAACAAAATGTGGTACATATACACAGTGTAATACTACTCAGCAGAGAAAAACAATGGCATCATGAGGTTTGCAGACAAATGGATGGATCTAGAAAAAATCATCCTGAGTGAGGTAACCCAGACTCAGAAAGACAAACATGGTATGTACTCACTCATAGCAGGATACTAGATGTGGAACAAGGATGACTGGACTGCTACTCATATCACCAGGGAGGCTACCTGGAAAACAGGACCCCAAGAAAGACACGGGGATCACCCAATGACGAAGAAATGGAAGAGATCTACATGAACAGCCTGGACATGAGTGGGGGTAATGAAGGGCGAGGGTCGAGGGAAAAGAGTTTGGGGGAGTGGGACATCCCAGCTGGATCAACAACAGAGAGGGAGAACAAGGAATAGGAGACCATGGTAAATGAGGACCACATGAGAATAGGAAGAAGCAAAGTGCTAGAGAGGCCCACAGAAATCCACAAAGATGCCCCCACAACAGACTGCTGGCAATGGTCGAGAGACAGCCCGAACTGACCTTTCTGGTGATGGGATGGTCAAACACCCTAATTGTCGTGCTAGAAACCCCATTCAACTACTGAGGGATCTGAATGCAGAGATCCATGGCTAGGCCCGGGGTGGGTCTCTGGGAGTCCAATTAGCGAGAATGAAGAGGGTTTATATGAGCGAGAATTGTTGAGACCAAGGTTGGATAAAGCAGAGGGACAAATAGCCAAAGGAATGGAAACACATGAACTATGAACCAATGGCTGAGGGGTCCCCAACTGGATCAGGCCCTCTGAATGGGTGAGACAGTTGATTGGCTTGATCTGTTTGGGAGGCATCCAGGCAGTGGGACCAGGTCCTGTGCTCATTGCATGAGTTGGCTGTTTGAAGCCTGGGGCCTATGCAGGATCGCTTGGCTCGGCCTGGGAGGAGGGGACTGGACCTACCTGGACTGAGTCTACCAGGTTGATCTCAGTCCACGGGGAACGCTTTGTCCTGGAGGAGGTGGAAATGGGGGGTAGGCTGGGGGGAAGGTGAGGGGGGCCGGAGGGGGGAGAACAAGGGAATCCGTGGCTGATATGTAGAATTGAATTGTATTGCAAAATAAAAATAAAAATAAAAAAAATCACGACTGGCCAGAGGTGGTGATGCACACCTTTAATCCCATCACTTGGGAGGCAAATGCAGGTGGAAATCTGTGAGTTCATGGCCAGCCTGGTCTATAGTGAGTTCTGCAGGACTGCACAGAGAAGCCACGTCTCAAAAAACAAAACAAAACAAAATAAATAAAAAAGTAAAAACTGGAGAGATGGCTGAGCAGTTAAGAGTGCATGCTGCTCTTCCAAAGGCTGCAAGTCCAACTGCCAGCACACAACTGCCTATGCTCCACAGAATCCATGCTCTCTGGTCTCTGCAGGTACCTGCACACACATGGCACACACTCATAAAGACACACATAGACACATAAATAAAAATAAAAATGCTTTTAAAAGAACCATTTTTCTTTCTCTTCATAGTCATTCCTGGAGCTCAAGGATTCAGCCATTATCACCACACTCCCCAAACAATTCCTGCCTAGAAACACAAAGGCTCAGATTTCCTAGGCTAGAGTGGGAATATAGCTCAGTTATAAACTATATGTTACATACTTGAGCTACTGGGTCCAATTCTAAGCACTATACAGAAGAGAAAAGTAAAGAAAATAATCAGAATCCCTCCCAGGCTACATTATCCACACAAGACCCACAGTACATCACTAGGGTTCAGAATCCATAGGCTGAGGCTGGGTCCAGTGGGAGAGCCTTTGCCTAGCACACACAAGGGCCTGGGTGTGATTCCTGGCACTGGAGGGGAGGGCAGGAAATCTACATGAACGAACCAGCTCACTACTAATAAAAAGTGTGTTATATCATGGCACTTCAATTCTAAAACGGCAGAGAAAATACGTACTTAAATCAGCAATAAATAGTTAAGAATCAGAAGCAAAGAACAAGAAGAAAAAGACATGCAGAATAAAGTCAATCACAAAATGCCTTCTGGGAAAATGTAAACATGGTTGAGAAATTCAATACAGTTAAGTTGCTGGAACAATCGAAACAAGACAAAGAAGGCATCAGTGGGACTCCAAGACACACAACACCCTGAGAGATCCATGACGACAGCATAGAAGAAGGAGAAGAATCAAGTACTAAAGGTACAAAATATGCTTTTAAAAAACCTCATAACAGAAAACTAACTTCTCAGTGCTGGAAAGAGAGAGTTCAATCCAGATGTGAAGTGCTTAGAACACCAAGAGACAGACCAGGAAAGAATTGGCCCTCCTCACAATTAGAACACTAAAGACACAGAACAAAGACAGCATCTCAGCAGCAGCCAGACACACCATGTCCCATAGGGCAGAATGGCAGTATGGCAGCAGATTATTCGGCTGCAACTTTACAGCCAGGAGACCCGGGCAGATGCATTTCAATTCTGACTCAACTGCCAACTCAGATGACTATAGCTAGCAAAGCAGTCTGTTGTAACTGAGGGGAAAATACACACTTTGCATGATAAAAAATAAACAGACTACAGGAATGCATGAGCACTAAGCTAGCTCCATAGAAAATACTTACAGGAATCTTTTGGACTGAAAAGAAAAACAAATTCCTCCACAAATCCACAGCAAAGAATAAACACAGTAGGATAGTAGTTAAGCAAGAGGGGGAAAAAAAAAACCCTACAAAATCAACAAATGGCAGGAATTAACACCCACTTTTCAACAATAACTGAGTATTAATGGTCTCAATTCCACAACCAAATTTCAGGGGTTCCCATACCACTGGGTCTTTGAAAACCTGCAATCACACGCACAGACCTACATACAGGCATGGGCGCACACAATTGAAAATAAAAATAAATCTTTGGAAAAAAGGGCACAGACTAGTAGTAGATTGCATCAAATGACAGGAAACATCTACTTGATGCCTCCAAGAAACAGATGTCACTACAAAGGCAGATGTCACCCTAGGGGGAAAGAATGGAAAATGATCCAAGTAAATAGGCCTAGGAAACAAGCAGGTGCCAGTGTTCCAATAGCTAATGAAACAGACTTCCAACCAAAACTAGTGAGAAAATATAAAGAGAGTCACTTCATACTGACTAAGGGAATGTAAGAGGACTTTATGATTCTAAAAGTATGCCTCAAGCAAGTGCACCTGATTTCCTAACAAATAATATTAGATTCAAGCCAGATTAAGTCTAGCCCAATACTAGTGGGTGACGTTAATACCTAAATCTCACCAACTGATATGTCTCCCTAACAAAAAAATAAACAGAAATATGCAAATTAAATGATATTATAGATCAAATGGACTTAACAGACATCTACAGACTAGTCCATCCAAACTCTGCAGAATACATATTATTCCCATGGAACTTTCTTCAGAATAGATCCCATATTCTGAGACAAAGCAAGTCTCAACAAATACAGAAAAACAATTCCTTGTGGTTTACCTGATCAAAATGGAATGAAACTACCGGAGGTGGTGGCACACCCTTTTAATCCCAACACCCAGGAGGCAGAGGCAGAGGGATCTCTGTGAGTTGGAGGTCAGCCTGGTCTACAAAGTGACTTCCCAGACAGCCAGGGCTGTTACACAGAGAAACCCTGTCCCAAAACACAACAACAAAAAAGCCAGAGAGTGTGCAAATAAACGATACATATGAGAGCCCTCAAAAATGAAGGATAAGCCAAACCCCAAATCAGGAGATGGAAAGAAATCAAGATCCATGCAGGAATTATTGAAATGGAAACAAAAATAACAATAAAGAATCAATGTACCTAGAAGTTGGTTCTTTGTAATGTATGATTAGTCAGACTGATCAAAAGACAAAGATAAGAACATTAGAGACTCAGATTAATAAAATTAAAGATAAAAGGAGAGCCACTGCAACAGATACCAACAAAATTCAGAAAATCATTAGGTTTTATCTTGAAAATAGGCATCATAAATTTAAAAAAATACAAATAAAAAATAACCCCAAATTTGCCAGTTAATTTTTTTTGAGACAATGTCTCTCTATGCATTCTGGAGCTCTCTACATTGACCAGGCTGGCCTTGAACTCATAGAGATCTAGCTGCCTCTGCCTCCCAAGTGGGGGGATTCAAGGTGTGTGCCACTGCTGCCACCACCACCTGGCAGTTAACTTTAAAAAGAAAACAACAACAACAAAACTCACAGTGTCAACCTGGAACGAAAGCCTAAGGAGGAGCACACACTTGGACCGTCTTTCTCTCCTACAACTATGAGAAAGCTCACCTCCAAGTGGCTGTGAGCATCACTCCCACAGTGCATCACATAGAGCCTCAGCTGTCTGGCTCTCCCAACTAACCCCTCCCTCCCTCCCTCATCTATGATTGAGGACTACAGAGCCTTACACTGGGCCTTTAGCCCTCCATGTACAAACACTGACTCTACCACAGTGCAGATAAACTTCTGTTCTTGGAGTCTGAGGGGAAGAGCTCATAAACTCAGGGTTGCACCGACATTCTCTAAAGCCGAGGACATGTCTTATGCACCAGTTTACTGAAATGCTCTTGTCCTCCTTGTGCTTCTTGGAGAGAAAATCTGGGACTTGGAAATGATTTAACAATTTCTGACAGAACTGAGAACAGAACCTAGGGAACTTCCTATGTGCCAGACGACTGCTCACAAGCTACAGCCCCAGTCCTTTAAAAAAATTCTTTATTTCTTTGTATTAAAACAAAAGCAATGGACTGGATAGATGGCTCAGTGTTAAGAGCACTGGCTGCTCTTCCAGAGGACCCAGGTTCAATTCCCAGCACCCATATGGTAGCTCACAATTGTCTGTAACCTAGCTCAAAGTGATCTACATTCACACAGACAGACATGCAGGCAAAACACCGATGCACATAAAATAAAAATAAATGTATCATTTAAAAACAAAAACAAAACCTAGGATTTGGGCAGTGGTGGTGCCTGCCTTTAATCTAATCGCTTAAGAGGTAGAGGCAACCAGATCTCTGTGAGTTCAAGGACAGCCTGGTCTCGAGTGACTTCCAGGGCAGCCAGGGTTGCAGAGAAAAAAAAAAACCTTTCCTGAAAAACAAACAAACAAAAACCTGGAACCAGTGGGATAACTCAGTTGGTAAAGACTCAAGCCTGATAGCCTGAGTGTGACAGAGGGTCACATATAGACGTAAAGAAAGAACCCAGTACACAAAGTTATTCTATGATTGTCACGTGGTGCCAGAGTATACATGCATCCATACCCACACAAAATAATATCGACAATGCATTTTTATTAAATTACATTTAAAAATTGAACCCAGGCATGATGGTGCAAATCTGTAATCACAAAACCCAGGGGGCAAAGGGAGGGGAATCAGGATCTCAGGGTCTGGCTCTACTACATACTGAATTCAAAGCCAGTCTGAGCTATACGAGACCCTGTCTCAAAAAAACGAACAACAACATTAAAAAAAAAAAAAACATGACTACACCAAAATCTGAAATCTAATTGTTTACTAAGTTTAACATCAAGCTATGCTGACTAGCTCTTGTGGTTGTATGTGTCTAGAAGACCTAAACGAAACACTACTATTTCTGAATCTTCAAACAGCTATGCATTTCAAGACCTAAGTATATGGGAACGAGAACATATATAACACTAGGAAATGCCCATTAACAAACAACCTGTCTAAATAGGTACTGTCAGGGCCAGCAAGATGACTCCGATGGTAAAGGTACTTGCTGCTAATGTCTGTCAGCCTGGGTTCAATTCCTGGATGCAGTGGAAGGAGAGAAACAACTCCTCCAAGTTATCTTCTGACCCACACACGTGGCTCATGCACTTACATACACAATTAGGAACTTAAAGGAAATTTTAAAAAATCTCAACTGAAAACTGTCTCAGCACTCTCCATCAGTCACTCCCCATCAGTCACTCCCCATCAGTCACACCCCCCATCAGCCATTCCTCATCAGTCACTCACCCCCATCAATCATTTCCCCCATCAATAAGTCCTCATCACTCACTCCTCCCCCCCCAAAGTCACTCCACCCCTCAGTTGCTCGCTTATTCTGTGATAAAATACTATGAAAAAGCAACTTAGGGAAGACAAGAGTGTGTTCTAGGACTCAATGTACTAACAGGCAGTCTTGAACTATCAGCCACTAATCTGATCATGTCCACTTAGTTCTAAGCCCATTCTCTGAGCAGCAGTGGTAGGTGGAGGGTGAGGTTCACAGAAATTTTCTACATGTTCTCGCAAGGGTCCTGTGGTCAGTGTGTGTTCCCATCTTTCTCCCATACTCTATTCCCCAATTATCTTGCAATGCTACACAATTCATCCTCCGGTGTCATCTCTATAACCTAGGAGGAACAGGCAGCACGCACATGCATGCAGAAGCAAGCTAAAACTCATTCTACATGCATGCCCTGGAAGCAAGGTTTAACTTCACACGACCTTTCACAACCCTGTTCACAGTGGCTCCCTCGTTCCTCATCTATTGGGCCACACCCACCATTTGTGCAACAAAGCAAATACCACCTACCTCAGCAAGAGGTCATAAAGCCCAGAGCAGTCAGTCAGGGAGGGAAAAGCCTATAGCGCCCATCTGGAGATGAGCGTGAGGACGCAAACCTTGAGGAATGTGGAGAAGCGTGGAGCATGCTCAGAAGGACACATTGACGTCACCCTTTCCTCAGGCCTCTCTTGATGCCTCATCAGTAGTAGACATGACCAAACAATAGGCCTTGAGTGTCGTCATTCCTGGGGCCCCACTTCTCTCTGTGGTTTCGGCCCACTACTAGTCATGGCCCGCAAGGTCCATTGGCAATATATATACGTTGTGAGGAATGAGAATGGTGAGGAGATAGCTGAGGTCTCCACCTTAGAGGCTGCCTTGGCGATGGTGGGTGGCAACCCTAGTGGAGGTGACGCGGGCTGCGTAATGGAACTAAATAACGGGGTCTGCCAGGTCCGTGAGAGCCAAAACGACTCTGAGGAGAGCAGTAGGGACCCGAACTCCTCTTCCTCGGAGCCTCACCAGGAGGAGCCAAGGCCCTCAGCCGAGCCTGTGATTCGGATTCCCAGGCGCCGTTCATCACGAAGGCGACGACGAACCACATTGAAGTTCACACTGGGGCAGGTCGAGGAAATGGAAAAATTGTTCAAAGAAACCCAGTACCCAGATGCGCTTGCCAGGTGTGTATGTGTCTTGCACCAGGAGCTATCCCCAACCTCCCTGTTGTCACAGGTTGAGATGTCCTTTTGTTGTTTCAGGCCCTGGTTTCCTGTCATCCCTCCCTAAGACACTGCTGTCTTCTCCCTAGGTGGTGGGTACAGGAGGGTGCCTTGTGTAGGGGTCAAGGTCAGTATTAGCGTGTAGTGTTGGCCCAAACAAGTGTACATAGTCAACACCACTCATTTCGAGTCATATTTTAATTTCTGTAAAATATTGAGACATGAGTATAGTGTGCCAAAATACTCACTAGTGTAAAGTTCACCAGTGTTAAGGATTTACACTTTGTTGGGTGACCTCCTCACCAGTAGTCTCGTCATCTTTTCAGGGACTGTGTACCTATCCATCAACTCCTTTTGCTTTCCCTTTCCCTTCCCCTGCTGCTGTTTTTTAATTTAGTACAATTTGCTCGGCATACACTTTGGCATTTATTTTTAAGTTTTCATAGAGTGTTAAAATTAAAATCTTTTTTAGAAACTTTTATAAGAGGTGAAACCATTGCAAAAGCAAGACTAGTTCTGAGAATGAAAGTTAAAGGGGGGGTTGAGGGAAGATAGCAATATTAAAAAAGCATAGAAATCATTTATGACTTTGCAGTTCATGTAAAACACGGCATGCTAAACATTTGTGGTTCTCTTTCCACAGGAAAGAACTTGCACAAGCTTTGACTATTCCTGAAGTCAAAGTGAAGGTCAGTAAATCCAAGCAAAGACATTGAACAGTCAATCTACAGCCTTCCTCATGTCTTGGGAAGCCTTGTCCTAGGCACTTTTTTTTATTTAAGATTTTTTTTTCATTTTACATACCAACCACAGTTCCCCTCCTTCCCCATCTCCTGCTCTCATCCCCACCTCCTCCCTGAACTCCCACATCCACTCCTCATAGGGGGTAAGGCTTCCATTGTGAGTCAACAAACCTGGTACATTCAGTTGGGGCAGGACCTACTGCATCAAGGCTGAACAAGGCATTGGGTTCTTGGGGAGTTCCCTAGCACCAGGTTTCTCCCTAAAACCATAATGGCTCTCTTAAGATATCTCTTTCATTGCTCTCCCTTTCCATTCCTACTCCAACTTGGCCAACCAGATCCCTCATGCTCCTATCTCCCAACCCCTCCATTCTATCCCCTACCCAGTTTACAAAGGAGATCGTATCTGTTTTCCCTTCCTGGGGTGATCCATGAATGTCCCTCTATGGGACCTCCTCTTTACCTGGCTTCTCTTGGGTTGTCGATTGTAGCCTCATTGTTCTTTGCAAGAGAGGCTGATGCACTGCATCTCTAGAGAGGCTGACTCACTGCATCTCTAGAGAGACTGATTCACTGCAGTTCTAGAGACTGAAGCACTACAACTCTAGAGTTGATGATGCACTGCATCTCTAGAGAGGATGATGCACTGTAGCTCTAGAGACTGGTGCACTGCAGCTCTAGAGAGGATGATGCAGTGCAGCTCTAGAGAGGATGATACACTCCAGCTCTAGAGACTGGTGCACTGCAGCTCTAGAGAGGATGATGCACTGCAACTCTAGAGAGGATGATACACTCCAGCTCTAGAGACTGGTGCACTGCAGCTACAGAGAGAAGGTGGACACAAGACACAAGAGAAAACACCCATGGTCTCCTGTTTGCACACTCTTGAGTGTGACTTTCCAATAGCCTCGTTTCTGATTTCCTCTTTCCTCTTACAAATGCAAACGATAGGCTTTAGGAATCAAACGGGGAACTCTGACTTAATGTGAGACCACATGAGTCAGCCACTGGGGCTTTATTTGAGTTCATGGAGGCATCAGGATGGTAGTAGGGCTTCTGGTGTTTTGGTTGGTCTTCTATAGACTATACATCCATATAATAGGCAGGGAAAGAAAGGACATGGAGGCACAAATGTACAGTTTGAGAACTTCCCAATACAATGGACCCTCATTTCACTAGGAGCCTGAGAGGATGGTGACATCTAACAGGTTACTGTGACTGTATTTCCATAGCTAGACCATATTTAGGAAGAGCTGATTTATGACCACTTTCCCCACACTGTTGTGGACCATCTTACTCTTTGCCTTTTGAAGAAAGATGGGCTTTAGATGTCCTGATGACACAGCAGGGCCTAGTGTGCCCTCTGTGCTGGACAGGGTTCTGGAAATATAGGTGAAACAATGATATTATTCTTCGTCCTGATCCTGGAGAACATTTTATAGCATGAAAGAATATACTGTTCAGATTTACCATGGGTGGAAGTCATGCTTTCAGCTGAACTCCTGGAGTTGGTAAAGGTTTCGGTGTCCTGTATGTCATTAGGTTAAATTTGTCAACTTTCACAAACACTGGAGGCTGTGATGTCAAACCATTGTCCAGGCCTTCTCTGCCCACCACTTGTTCGCTCTCCTGAAATTTCAAGCACCAACAATCCCATTGGAACCCTTGAATGCTATTTTCTTTCTAAAAATCTCCCATGCTTATTTCTGTTGATTAATTACTTCATACTGAAGATTGCTTTTGCAAACAGAAAGCTGTTCCCGTCCATAGGCCTTTAAAATGTGCTAACATTTGCTGATCTACAATCTCTGCCCAAACAAGAGGAATGGATCACTAGTGAGGAGGGTTTTCTACAGCTGATGGAAAAATGTCAGAATGAAGACTTTCCTTTACCCAGTTACCATATATTGAATTAATATCAAGGAACTGGAACATGTTGTAATCTAAGCTTTCCATCCATTAGAAAAGAAACCACTGAAGTGTCTATACTGCTGGAAAAAGACAAAATCATGGCCTATTACAGAATTTGACAGACAGCTGGTATTTGCTTTTATGAGCTGAATAGAAAGTCAGTGTTATGTGTCTTAAAGTGGTTTTTATCTCTTGGCTCTGGGGTGGAAGCCAATGCTAACTCCAATCCTGCCTTCCTCTAATTTTAGACATGGTTCGTCCATCGGAGAGCAGAAGAGAGGAAGAGTCAGAGGCGTGTAGTAGTACAGAGCACACCTCCTCGTATCGAAAAGGTCCTTCTCATTATCGATAGGGATGACTATCCCTAGAGTGCAATCTTAGTTCAGGAGCTAGAGGGAAATCTGGTGACACCTGTACTCAATGTCCAGCTTCACTAAAATTCAGCACTCATGTTAACAATACAATCATGAATTTCCAAGTTATTTAATTTCATATGCTTCCTGGGGTTTAGTATTCTTCAGATGTACACTCTTCAGGAAATGCCATTTAAACATAATGACACGTTCTATTTTTGGGGGGTGACATTTCTAAGTCATGAGTATTGTTTGCACAGATGACTATTGCCTACACATCGGAATTGTGAAACAGTGGATCACTTAAGCCTTCTTGATTCAGGGTCACTTGATCCTTTGAGCACGGGATTCAGTAGTAACACTGCAAATGGGGAATCTAAGGAGAAGGTGGGCACAGAAAGTATTGATGGTGATGATTACTTTTTATTTGGGGAGGGGTCACAACAATGCTTTCTTTTTTCTTTTAATGAAAATAGATTTTTCTGTCACATACCATATCCTGATTATGGTTTCCCTTCCCCCTACTCCTCCCAGTTCCTCCTCACTCACCCTCCCATCTGGACATATCTACCATTCTGTCATTAGAAAACAGCTCTGATAGGTGGAAGCCACTCACAGGCCATCCTGGGTCCTCAAGACCTGGGCTGCCTAAAGCAGTTGATGGAGGTTGGGTGCCATTATAATGAGCAAATGTGTGGTGGAGAAATGGGAGAAAAAGAGAGACAGAATGGTTCATGTGCTGTGGAAAGAGGTGGAACAGAAGAACCGAAGGTGGTGAGGAGCCGGCTGAGGTAGATGGCTTGCTTGTCACCCAGGGAAGTGATGATTCCTGTGCCTGGGCTGCTTGAAGGTCATGTCTGGGTCCATGGCCTTACTGCAGCCAGGGTCTATGTGTTGATATCCATGGCTCCTGCTACCATTGAAAGCCATGCATATGTCTGGGGTCTGGGCTGTCACCTGGGGCGTGTTGGTGACCCAGGATCATGCTGCCTCTGGGGCCATGCCAATCTGAGTGCCTGTGCTGCTACCCGGGGCCTTGGTGACATCCAGGCCATGTAGCTGCCTATGACAATGTCTGGGTCCATGTCCTACTGCAGCCAGTGCCTGTGTTAAAGTCTGTGTCCTGTGTTGCCACCTAGGCCACATGGATACCCAGGGTCTGTGGCACAACCTGTGGACTTGTCCAAGCCTCCAGAGCCATGCTGATCTGAGTAGCCTATGCTACCACCTGGGGCCTAGGTGTCATCCGGGCCCAAGTAGCTGCTGAGGGCCATGTCTAGGTCCGTGTCCCTATGGCAGCCATGGTCTGAGTTGATATCCATGGCTCCTGTTACCACCAAGGGGCATGAAGATGCCTGAGGTCTGGTCTGCCACCTGAGACCATGCTGGTGTCCCACAGCCATGCTGCTGCTCTGGTTGGCCTGTGCCATCACGTGGGGCCGTAGTATGTCAGGGCCCAAGCTTCAGTCTAGGGCCATCTCTGGGTCCATGGCCCCACAGCAGCCAGGGTCTAAGTTGATGTCCATAGCATCTGTTGCCACCAAGGGCCATGCAGATGCCCAGGGTCTGGTTAGCCACCTCAGACTATGCTGGTGTCTGAGAGCCATGCTACTTGATGCAGGGGCTGAACTGCTCTGAGTGACATGAGCTGAGACACGGGACATGGTAACATCTGGGCCCGAGATGCTCTGGAGGACCACCTCTGGATCTGTGGTCGTACTATAACTGGAGACTGTGTTGACATCTGTGGGCCATGTTACCATAGGAGGCCATGTATGATGAAATCCAAGGGCAGTGCTGAGCCACACCTGCCCTGTGTTGGCCCTAGGAAAGCTGGGCCTGCTCCTCACTAGACACTGCAGCTAGAGTGCTGACCTTGACCCTCACAGGAGAGCTGGCCCCAATGACTCTGGCATGGAGAGCTGGCCCCCTATACTTAGAAGAGTTGGCCCCACCTCTCAACACAGGCATGAGAGAGATGACCCTGATGCCATGGGCATAGGAGAGCTGGTTCCACCTCCACCTGAGGGGGCAGCCTTAGTATCAAGGACTACCAACTCAACTACCACCCAGGTCCATATCCAGGGCCTTGGATTGGCCCACCCTAACATCAACCCCATCTAGGACCTGCTGGAGCATGTGAAGGGACTGGTTCTGCAGATCTCCATGACTAGGGGCAGCCGTGGGATATCAGAGAGGAGTTTCAGTGAGGATCCAGTGATGACGGTGTACCAGAAACCAGAGGCCTTGAACCAGACCAATGACTCATTACAATTTTCATTTTCGGATGGGGCTGATTGAACAAAGGGTATACTGCAGGACACACCGAGGATCCCAGTGCCACTCAAATGAATGAAGAGATGTTGAAGAGGCGGGAGAGACAAAAGAGAGAAGTGGGCTTTTTTGTTTGCGTGGTTGGTTGGTTAGTGGGTTGGTTGGTTTAGTTTGGTATTTTTTATATTTTATTATAGGGGAGGGATGCTGCAAGGGTGAAGGGAGGATATGGAGGACTGGGAAAGGAGCAGATTTGGGGTGCATGATGTGAAATTCCCAAAGAATAAAGATTGTGTGTGTGTGTGTGTGTGTGTGTGTGTGTGTGTGTGTGTGTGTGTGTGTGTGAAAACATACAGGCTTCAAAGGAATAATAATAAAATAAACTATAGCCAAGCTGTTGTGGTACAT